AAGTCGGACGCTTAACCAACTGAGCCACCCAGGCGCCCCTAGGACATTAACTTTAACTGCTTTTTAATGGAAATCTTTCTGAAATGTCGACACAGGTTTCCAAATCGGTGATCGGTGGCGCCAGTAATTTTCTAGTCGCATCACCCGGGCTGCCCAGTCAGTCTCTTGCTTGTCTTTTGAGGCTCAGGTCCCATCTGCCACCTGCCTACACGCACTCCCCTACCTCCTCCAGTGACTCGCGCCCACGGCTCTTGAGTCGAGCCTATTTTGTACTTAACGCTACTCACCACTGTGTACTGATGAGGGTTTGCAAGTGCTAAGTGCCCTTTAGTACACACGTGAAGTGTTCAGGCCAAGTTAGTCGAAGGAACAAATCCCGGTTCTTGATTTTCCCTTCTTCCTCTGTCTGCTCTTTTATTTTACCCCCACTACTTTTTAGATACCCGTACCAGAGGCCTTCGGTCAACTACTCGTCATTCCTTAGTCCGCGCCCGGTTAGAAACAGCTGTTGTGATCCTGCTGTCCCTGATTTCGGGGGTCCCACTGTACAGGGGAGCAGTCTGTTTACTCCCCGCCTTGAGAGGCCACTCACCCAGTATGTCACCCCCGCCCCGTCATCTCCTGGTGGTCCATACCCACAGTGCTCCTTCCTCTTGGCCGTGCACAGGCTTGCTCAGAAGGGGCACTGCGGGGTTCGTGCCTTGTTTTATAAAGTGATGGGTGGGGAGGATGAGAGACTGAAAACCAGAGCAGCCACATTCAGAGCAGGGCTGTGTAAATGTTCATTGTGATTAGTATTAATTATGCAAGCTAGCTTTTATGGTTATGGGTGAGTTAACTGTTGTTTTTTTTTTTTTTTTACTTCCAGTAACTAGTATTTTAGGAAAATAGTGTTTAAAGTCAAAAGGGGGGCGCCTGGGTGGCTCAGGTGGTTAAGCATCTGACTTCAGCTCAGGTCATGATCTCCTAGTTCATGGGTTCGAGCCCCACATCAGGCTCCACGCTGGTGGTACGGAGCCTGCTTGGGATTCTCTCTCTCTCCCTCTTTCTCTCTGCCCCTTCCTCATGTGTGCGCCCTCTCCCTCTCTCTCTCAAAATAAACTGTAAAAAAATTAAAAAAAATTTCTTTTTTTTTTTTTTTTTTAATTTTTTTTTTCAACGTT